TGCCCTCACGCTCGCTGCCAGGGCCACGGTCGCACGCCGTGCTCACCCCGCACACCCGCAGGCCACACGCTGGCCCGAAGCGCGCGCAGGGGCGCCCTGCTTCCCCTTCCCCGGCACCCGCCTTCCCCCACGCTCTGCTGCCCCTACTGCCAGGCCTGCCCCTCAAGCTCCGTTCCCTGGTTGTCTCCCAGGATGGGAACTCAGCTTGGCACCGGGCAGAAGGTGCCTAATTGCCAGATGCGTCGGATCTCTCCCACCTGCCCGGGCAGTGAAACCCTCCGGCCTTCCCTGGGAAGTTCTCAGGTCACACCCCGAGCCTGGGAGGAGAGGCAGAGCCTGCCCTTGGCACCTGGGGAGCAGTGTTGGCCACTCGCAGCATCCTCTTCCTTCCCCGACCCCTCTGTAATTTTTCTGTCCGCTCCACTTAGGACTTTATCTGTTGGCTTAGATAACCATACCATCTTGGAAGCCCATCGTGGCCCTGGCAGCCTGCAACCACCCTGGACCAGGCAGAAAGAGGCCACTTGTACAGTGCCTGGGAACCTCCTTGGTGCTGGGTTACTTCAGCAAAAGCAGTTTTTTTCCTAATTGAAGTTAAAATGTTGCTCTTAGTCCTAAAGGGTGGACTGGGGAATGAGTGGAGAAGAGATACAGAAATCAGTGGTGTAAATGGCAAAATTACTTTTGCTAACTGGAGCATAATGAACATGGGTTCCTTGATTAAGAAGTCTAAAAGCAAGTGAAATTAACTGATAAGAGGTGGGGCCTCATACAAAATAGCAGGCTGAAGTTTATTCCAGGAAAAATGTTGAAAACCCCTTGACTAGAAACATGGTCTTTCCGAAAGATTAGAGGGAGATCGTATCCGAGCATTAGTGATGTGTTTTTTTACTTAGTGTCTTCATACCTGTAACCTTTTTCCTTCAGATGTCTGTGTGATAGGACAGTATTCTCCTGTTTTAGAGGTGAGACTCCTGAGGCAAGTATATGTGGGGAGAGGGTGGTGGGTAATAGATCTTGCCTAATGCCTCACAGCTAGGACTCAGGGTGAGGACTGGAGCTTGGGCCACTGGAGTCTTTCCTAGGCTCCTTCTCCCGGACTAGGACCACATTACAGGATTTAAATGCAGGACAGAGGGAGAAGCGTGTGGTGTGGTAGTGTTTATACTCTTAACATGAGAGGACAGGTGCTTGTCTTACTTACAAAGTGGTTGGATTTACTTTCGATGTTTCTTAAGTGATGTCAAAGTCAGTTCCTTTGGTGGAGCTATGCCAGACCTCTGAGTTTTTCAGACAACTTTAAGACATCCTCGTTTATTTTGAAGGGTGTGGTGAACTTCTCAGAAGGCCTCAAAATAAAAGTAGTCTCTGACTTTAATTTTAGAAATACATACCCAGGTATATGTTCCAGTACTTTTGTGAAATCGGACAACAATAAGCTGCCAAGCTTTAGGTCATCTTCTGACTGTTTTCAGAGTATAAGGAGCAATTCTGAAGGGGGTTTTTTGCCCCTGGTATTGTCTGTTAGAGTTTGTGGGAGCGGCACCACAGGCAGAGACCCTGCCAAATGAGCAAAATTAAACAAAAATGTCTGGTTGGCCATTTCGCCTCAACAGATGGAGGTTTGGTTCCTCATTTTGGTTCTTCTGTTGAACACTGACTCCATTGTGATCAGCTTAGAGTGTTTGTATATCATTTAATGTTGAGAAGCAGGCTTGCCCTGATTGGTTGTCCAACTCCAGGCAACTGTTGTGATTTTTTTTTGGTGTGGGGTAACAGTTCATCCTGGCCATGGTCTAGTGAGAGATTCGTAGAGATGTGAAAGAGGTAAAACCTAATCTGGGTTTTTTTGTTGTTGTTGTTGTTGGCACCTTCTTAAGAATGTCCTATCACTTTGGCCTGTGAAGTCACTTTTAATTTGCTATTTTTTTTTCCTGTCTCAATGGAAAGCACATGAGCTTTCCTAGTGCCTGCCTTGATGAAGAGCTGAGAGGTTCATGCTGATTGGCTTGACAGATGTTCTTTCTGGGAGGGCGGTTAAGAAATCTTAAAACCAAATTCATTCCTAAATTAAAAGTGTAAGTCCACTTGATACACAGAGAGGCAGCATCTTTGTACCAATGGCTTCCATCATCTCAGAGCTGTTTTTTTTTTTCCTGGCAAAAGGTTAAAATGCAACTAAAATTCTGCTTTCATGATTAATAAGTCACTACCGCAGTTGTGTCTGATGCTTCCTGTTTGCTCCATTTTAGTATTTCAGTTAAACTGGAAACATCTGAGCTTTGTGGGCACTTTTGATGGCACCCTGTATGAAATTGGCGGGAACGGGGGACAATTCCCTGTCAGTGGATTTGGGGAGCTCTAAGGAGAAGCCAGCCCCTCTGGCCTGTGCACACCAAGCTCTCTCGGCAGGGAAAGGAGTGGGAGTTGAGCATCTTCAAGGGGAGTTTAAAGTGATGCACGTGTGAAGGCTCACATTTACTTGATGATGCTGACTGAAACGTTGAAAGCAGTAGATTAGAAATGGAAGGCCAAACATAGGGCAAATTGTGTAGTAGAGCATTTCAGTTGAGCTGAGCGAGACATTGAAGTATGTTGAATTTGGGGTCTTTGGTTCTGGCCTTGTCCCACTACTTGAGTGACAGTGCAGAGACAAAGTCGCTTTTCCTCAGTGGCCTTTGTGCCCTTTTTTGTATTCTAGTTTAAAAGCTCCCCTTCCTTTCTTGCTATTTTATAACCTTTAATCTCTTATCCTTCTGATATAAATCCCTTGAAATTATATAGCATCAAGAGCAATAATACTTGGTAGTAGCCTTTTTTTCTATTTTCTCACAATACTCCTGTAAAGAAAGGCAGCGACAAAGATCATGAGTGTGAGCCCTGGTAAGGAGAAATAAAGTGGATAAGATTACTCAGAAAATCAGTGTCATGACCAGAATCTAAACCCACGTTTCTTGACATCTAGTTCACTGCTTTTTCTACTAACTTACTCATGAAAGGATGTTGTTTTTTTCCTAAAACATGTCACTGTTGAATGTAACTAAACCAGGGTAATTGCTTAATAATAGCTGCTTATCCATCTATTTATGTTAACAGTGTTAATTAATATTAATAAATGTTAACAATTATTTATCAGTTGATATTTATTATCTATAATAATTATTAATAAAAGTCTGAGAGATGAACAGCACATCCTCTGGGCAAGTCTTCTTATCCCCATTTTACAAATGCAGCAGAAGTTAAAGCCCAGTGTTCAAGTGATTTGAAGAGTAAGCTCATGGTGTCTCCATGTCAAATGTAGGGGTTTAGGCTGTAGGGTCAGATAGACGTGGGTCAGTCAGGTCCAGGTCTACCTGTGTGGCCTCTGGCAAATCACTTCACTTCTCTAAGCATCGGGTGCCTCGTCTGAAAATACTTCGTGGTGTTGTTTTGAGTAGAAAATGAGAGAATATATGTAAAATTCTGAGCTCAGTGCCTAGCATTTAATAAGCCCCAGGACACGATGGCTGTAAATGTTGGTGGCGGTAGAAGTAATCACAGTACTAGTAGTTGCCGATTACCACTTTGACTAGACTTGTTTTCTGTAAGATGATGTCAGAAAGGGTCTGACTGCCTGACAGGCAGAGTCATTTTCTCAGCAGAACCTCCAGGGGAGCATTGCTTCTGTTGAGAGGTTTTAGCCGTTAGGTTCTCCCCATCTTACACTAAACACCATCCTCACTGGCCTCCAAGTGAGCCTGAAACTGCCCTGGCTCTGCCTGGTCAGAGTTGGTGAACCTACACCTTGCGCACCCTCCGCCCTCCCAGGACTGTGAGTGAGAGGCAGAGCTGGCCTTGCCAGGGCTCTCCTATGTCCCCCATGTGGTGAAGTGTGTCCCAGCCTGAACTCTGGAGGGGATAAAAGGGAAAATACTGTGTAGAATGAAGTCAACAAGGACTTACTCTTCTTTGTTTAGGAGACTAGAGGGGAAATCTGGGTTCTGTGGGGCAGGGTTCCCACCACCATGTGGCACCCTCAGCTCACCGCCCTTTCCTCTTAGAATATGTCACCTTCTTGCCAGTACCAGGTCTAGGGGCCCTGGATCCACACTCAGGGACTTGCAGATTTCACTTTAAATCACCCAAGAAAAAAAAGTTTCACATTACATTTTAAATTCTTTTCTTCCCTTTCTTAATACAAAACAAAAATATAGGCTCCCACCAGACTGACGTTCCCTTTAAATAACATTTTGTTTTCTCTTGGGGAAGCTGTCTTCATGGCCAGAGAGTCATTTCTAAAGTGAACCTAGTTTTTAGAAAAAATAGATCAC